GGTGGGATCCCCATGGTTACACCAGAGGTCTGGGTCTAAATGTGTGAGTTTTAAGATGGGGAACAATATCTTTTAGGGAACCAAGAGGGGTTCCCATAGCATCGAGATTTCCGATGGTTATACTGGCATATACCTGAGGGATCTGAAGGATATATATATATATTACGGTAACTACATTTAAATGTACGGACTTTTAAACATACGAACAGGTATTTAAGACTACCTCCGGGAAGGTTTTTCTTGGCCCGCCCGGCCATTTAAACATACGGAATCCAAGTCATTTAAACATACTGTGACTACATTTAAATATACGAACTGGTATTTCATAGTACCTCCGTGGCCTCGCGGTCTGGCCCGCCCTCCACATATTTAAATGTCGTTACCGTATATATATATATATACACATAATGGGAATATTACAAAATATCACTGGGATATATCTGGATAAATGAGATATAATGAAGCAACAATATAATGTTATACTTGGGTTTGTCATGCTTTGTCCAAGAACCGGAGGGGGATACACAACGAATCACGGCGAAACCATGCGAAATGATGATCAACCGCCGGACCGGTAAAAGCGACAGTAGCTGCGGCTTAGTGGCACTCCTTTCTCACCAGCTCAAACTCTTCTTGCCATTCCCTGTCTGTGCCGCTGAAACCTGATGCACGATGCACTGGAGGCCATGATGTGATGAATGTGTCCTTCAAAACTCATCAAAACATAGGGGAAAGAAACAAGGGTTGTAAATATTAATGGCACGGGTTTTCCATGGTTTTCCTACAACAATTCCTATCCAATTCTGGAAATACACCCGCAGAAAAGATTCTCAGGCAGGCTCTAGTTGGGGATGGCTTATACATTTTTTTCCGGAAAAAATGGTATGATTATGGTTTATAGTTTTAGCTTCACCACATTGCCTCCAATTCCATAAACCTGGCTTGGGGATGATGGCTAGTATGTGTGTCAGTATCCATTAATGTTGGCATGATCCTTCGAGGATGTCGATTTCACCCGCATCAATGGACATTTCTATGGCTTTCTGGCTTTCTCCAAAAAAAACAAAAACTGAAGGGTATGGATTCCCATATGGTAAAAAACCCAAAGATTTTACCACATGACCTGCCAGAAAAAAACCGCCAGGTCCAAGGCTCCCGTGAGCTCGGCAAAGGGCCGCATCTCCATGGCGCTCAGCTGCCCCGTGCCGCTGCGATTCAGCGCTCGAAAGGCCGCTGAGATCAAGGAACGACGGCTGAGAGCAGCCTCGGAGGGCTCAAATAACGGTCAAATGATGGTCAAAAGTAAGGACATGTAAGGACTTTGTTGGGATTAAAATACTGCTAAATGATGTGTCATATTTGTTTTCAGCAGTTAAATCCAACTATAGTTAACACAAAATGGATCAAAATGGGGTATGGCGTGATGCAACTTACATCTTTGGAAACTATGGAAAACGAATCGAGGTATGACTGTTTGTTCAACACAGATGTTTTGGTCATTTTGGTCTCAAAATGGTGTCAAAATGTGCTCGGTCATCCCGGTTTCTCCAGTTTTCAGCAAGCACCTAGCTTAATAGGCAGCTCATAGTGCCTGTTTATTCTATCAGCAGACTTTTCATTACGGAAACGGTACAAGGTCTTAGAAGTCGAACGTTACTTTTCACATTCCCGCTCCAGCTCAAAGGTACGTGTCTCCCTCAAAAAAAATGTTTTGCCCTAGATTTAGTATATTATATGGTTGGGATTGCATAGGTATATATACATGATGAAGCTCGAAGCTACCTTGCTGGCTCACTGCCTCCTTGCTAGCTCAAAGCTACCTTGCTGGCTCAGTGACACGTAGCTGGCTGGCTCAATGCTTCGTTGCTGGCTCAGCGCCTAGTAGCTGCCTCAGCGCCTCGTAGCTGCCTCAGCGCCTCGTAGCTGGCTCCTTTTTTTCAACGAAAAAAACACGGAAAGAAAAAAAACATTGAAAAAATTGAGCCAGCTACATGCCCTTGAGCCAGCTCGATGTCCCGTCATCAACCCGGCCAATACATAGCAAGTATTCGTTTTGATGCTCTCACATTCGTTCGCCAGCTCAACGTGACGTAGCTGGCTCAATTTTTTCGAGTTTGTTCCCCACCTGCCAGGTGAGGGTTGTTAGATTTTATGTCAGTTGCCTCCTCCTCCTCCTGCTCCTCCTGCTCCTCCTCCTCCTCCTGCTCCTCCTCCTCCTCCTCCGCCTCCTGCCTCGTCCTCCTCCTCCTCGTCCTCCTTGTCATCCTTGTCGTCCTTGCTCAACTGCGACCCGCGATCCACAGTGTTCTCTGCCGGACCTCAACCACGACCACCCACGCCCAGCGTTCCCTGCCGGACCTCAACCACGACCACCCACGCCCAGTGTTCCCTGCCGGACCTCAACCACGACCATCCGCGCCCAGTGTTCCCTGCCGGACCTCAACCACGACCATCCGCGCCCAGTGTTCCCTGCCGGACCTCAACCACGACCATCCGCGCCCAGTGTTCCCTGCCGGACCTCAACCGCGAGTATCCATGCCAACTGTTCCCTGACATATCTTCTGGCATTCTATCTGGCAAATCTTCTGGCATTCTATCTGGCATTCTATCTGGCATATCTTCTGACATTCTATATGGCAGATCTTCTGGCATTCTATCTGGCATATCTTATGGCATTCTATCTGGCAAATCTTCTGGCATTCTATCTGGCATTCTATCTGGCATATCTTCTGGCATATATTCTGACATATCTTCTGGCATTCTATCTGGCATATCTTCTGGCATTCTATCTGACATATCTTCTGACATTCTATCTGACATCTTTTCTGACATTCTATCTGGCATTCTATCTGGCATATCTTCTGGCATTCTTTCTGACATTCTATCTGACATCTTTTCTGACATTCTATCTGGCATTCTATTTGGCATATCTTCTGGCTATCTGGCATATCTTATGGCATTCTATCTGGCAAATCTTCTGGCATTCTATCTGGCATACATTCTATCTGGCATTCTATCTGGCATTCTATCTGGCATATCTTCTGGAATATCTTCTGGCATATCATATCTTCTGGCATATCTATCTGGCATATCTTCTGGCATATTTTCTGGCATTCTACCTGGCAAATCTTTCCCTGCCGGACCTCATGTAGGAAGATATGGGACAAAGAATGTGCAGAAGAAAGTTAGAAAGAATGTCAGACAAGTATGTGATATATTACTTGCGAACTTGCAGGTGTGTGGTCGTGTGATCGGGGCAATGCCACTATTGACTTTGCGGGTGGCAAAGTTTGAAGCAATCAGTTTGAACAGATGACAGAGTCACTGGGGTGGACAGAGACATTTCCATTTCTGTACCTTTGGAGCTGTTTGCAAAGACACTTGAGACAGGCAACATCTTACAGCAAGTTACTACAAATTACTTGAAGGGATCTCATGCTGGATTGATGCTTGAGACAGTCAACATCACACAGAGTTTCTATTGTATATCACAGCTATGGTAGCATGGTGGATATGTGACATCGGAACATTTGCTGGAGCATTTGAGCCCTCATCTACTCGATCGCGGGCCAGAGGCAGGATGGACATCATCATAGAAGCATTCAGCAGGAGGAGGTTATGTGATCAGTAGTGTCTTCTTGCGTGTTTTTCCCCACCTGCCAGGTGAGGGTTGTTAGATTTTATGTCAGTTGCCTCCTCCTCCTGCTCCTCCTCCTCCTCCTCCGCCTCCTCCTGCCTCGTCCTCCTCTCCTCCTCCTCCTCGTCCTCCTTGTCATCCTTGTCGTCCTTGTCGTCCTCGTCGTCCTCGTCGTCCTCGTCGTCCTGGCTCAACTGCGACCCGCGATCCACAGTGTTCTCTGCCGGACCTCAACCACGACCATCCACGCCCAGTGTTCCCTGCCGGACCTCAACCACGACCATCCACGCCCAGTGTTCCCTGCCGGACCTCACCCACGACCATCCGCGCCCAGTGTTCCCTGCCGGACCTCAACCACGACCATCCGCGCCCAGTGTTCCCTGCCGGACCTCAACCGCGACCATCCGCGCCCAGTGTTCCCTGCCGGACCTCATGTAGGAATGTCAGATAGACTGCCAGATAGAATGCCAGATAGAATGTCAGATAGGATGCCAGATAGAATGCCAGATAGAATGCCAGATAGAATGTCAGATAGGATGCCAGATAGAATGCCAGATAGAATGTCAGATAGGATGCCAGATAGAATGCCAGATAGAATGCCAGAAAGAATGCCAGAAAGAGTGCCAGATAGACTGCCAGATAGAATGTCAGATAAAATGTCAGATATAATGCCAGATAGAATGCCAACATATATGCCAGAATATATGTCAGATAGAATGCCAAAATATATGTCAGATATAATGCCAGATAGAATGCCAGAATATATGTCAGATAGAATGCCAGAATATATGTCAGAATAAATGACAGGTAGAATGCCAGAATATATGTCAGATGAAATGTCAGAAAATATGTCAGATAGAATGCCAGGTAGACTGCCAGATAGAATGCCAGGTGGAATGTCAGGATATATGCCAGATAGAATGCCAGAATATATGCCAGAATATATGTCAGAATATACTAAATATATGTCCAAATATACGTCCTGACATGTCATGGTGGGGATCACACGAAGTAGAGTAATTTTTTTCGTTTTCGTTTTTTTTCGTTGAAAAAATTGAGCCAGCTCGATGCCATTGAGCTAGCTCGATGTCTCTGAGCTAGAGCGATGTGTTTGAGCTAGCGCGATGTCGCTGAGCCAGCTCGTTGCAGTTGAGCGAGCTCGCAGAAACTTCCCAATCTGTTAAATTGCCAGGTTCTGTCCCCACTGATTAGTTTAGTACTAGATATGGTACCTCTGAAAAAGCCCAAGGTGACTGTCAAAGACATACCCCTGATGAAATTGAGCCAGCTACATCTTTTGAGCTAGCTCGAAAAAATGGAAGATTGTGGATTGCCACTTTCAAAGAAGAATGATCTACAGATCCAAGCGGAGCAAACCGATCACAAAGTAGAGTAAAGCATGTCATGCAGTAGAGACAGAATAGAACAATACTGACGGGCATCAATGTTTTCTCTCAATGCAAGTTCCCACTTATCACTTGCCAAAAGAAACAGTTCACCAATCACTCAAAATATCTTAAAATGTAAGTGACCCTTCCAGCATCTCTCTCTCTCTCTATCTCTCTCTCTCTCTCTCTCTCAGTCTCTCTCAGTCTCTCTCTCTCTCTCTCTCTCTCTGTCTGTCTGTCTGTCTGTCTGTCTGTCTGTCTGTCTGTCTGTCTGTCTGTCTGTCTGTCTGTCTCTCTCTCCGTCTGTCTGTCTGTCTGTCTGTCTGTCTGTCTCAGTCTCTCTCTCTCTCTCTCACTCTCTCTATCTCTCCCTCTCTTTTTCCTACGAGAAAGAGATGCTGCTAAGGGACAGGAAGGCCTTTGGCTGCCTCTGCCGTGGCAGCTTGCGGCGGGTGCGACTTAAGCAGTTGGCGGAGATTGGCGTCCTCACAATAGCAACCATCGTCTGAGGCATCCTGAGGCGCATTCCAGTATGGGATCGCATGGCTGTCAAATGCTGTGTCTGCTGTTTCCTATTCTGGTCTATGGAACCTAAACTTGCTTCCCATTTCATTCCTGTGTCGCTTCCAATCCCTTCTTCCTTTCCTAGATACACCGCATGAAAAAAACAAGTTGGGCAATTTGATTCTTAACCCCCCTTAGAAAACAATTTAAAAATCAAGGTCCCGTTTACGGGTTTCACCGTTTAACAATCTAATAAATAGTATATGTCTAGGGGTTGTTTATTACTAGGGTCTGTCTTTTAATCAAACACATATATTTATGAAGAACAAATAGGTTTTGACTTTATCATTGGGGGATATTGGGAAGCAGTTTCGATATCCAGTTTTGGACAATAATATGTCATGGGGGTTTTAGTAAGGGATTTGATCGATTTAGAAAAACACTTTTGGGTTTCATTGAAATTTTGATTCTATTGTTACGGGGAAGCCTCTCACCCTAATACCCCCTAATAATAAAAACTGTTCCAGGTGTTCAATTTTTTGGAGGTGCATGGCGGGGCCGTTTAGTAGTACGGCCGGGACTTCTGCTATGCCTCAAAGTCTTCTGGGATGATTGTCGGAACTCTCATTTTTGGTGACCCTTGCTGTACTTTGCGGCTTTCTAGCATTTGAGTACGATATCTATAATAACTAGATGGCTCTGGGTTTGCGAACCCAGAGACGTCGTTGATGTCCCTCTGCGGTGACATAAACCCTTCAAGAACCCTAGGAAAAACCCTACAGAAACCCTAAATGAATCCTAAAGAAACCCTAAAGAAACCTTAAATCAACATGAACAAATGAACAAAACTCGTGAAAGTATATGTAGTAAAGTACCTGTGGTGCGAAGCACACTTGCTGTGAGTAGAATTAGGGAGGAAGGGATTATTGCCACGTATGCCATGTGCAGTTTACGAACAGGATCGAAGTCAGAACATAAGCAGCATACGCATGTCAAAACATGACATCATTTTTTGAAACACAAGGAAACAAAAGGGAATGAGGAAGAACAGAAAGATACCTTTCCATAGCCAAACAAACGCCCTTCTGCCATCCAGCAATCCAACATCCTTGCATGGTCTCCTATCTATGATTATCTACGTCACAAGCTGTCCAAGCATCATTGACCAAGCGCTCGAAATCCGTGAAAGCAATCCCGGGCTTGGATCCATCACCTCATCTTCAGCAAGTGGATCATTTTTAAAAGTTGCCTACAGCAGTTGGTTTGAACACGTGAGGGAAGAAATCGTGAACACATGATGATATTACACGAGTTTTCGGTTGGTCTAGCTGTAGCCAGGCCACGAATATAAAAGAAAAGTCGATAAAAGTTTGTCCCTCCCAAAATACGGATACAGCAGGTCCTAGACACATGATTGAATCCCCAACCAAACTTTCCCCATCATTATCTCCTTGAGATGCAGCTTGGGTGCACTCCTGTCTCAGCAAGTCAAACTCTTCTCGCCATTCTTGGTCTGTTCCTGTGAAACCTTGGATCGAACATGAACCCGCCATACCAGCCCACATCAGCAATGGTGAGATTGACCTCACTGCTTTACACACTTCAAGTCCACTCAAGAGAAACAGTTGAAAACATGCATTGCACTCTTGCTCATTAATCTCATTGTTGGGCATGAACAACATAGCACACCTGTGCCGAGATGTGCTGAATGCATTTGAAGAGACCTGTGAGCTCTGCAAGCGGCCGCATCTCAGGTGCGCTCAGGTAGCTTGATCCACTGGTGTTCAGGGCATCAAACACTGACTTGATCAAGGCCGCACGATCACCTCCTGGTTGGTCATTGCCCTGATGGCCGTTTGGCGCCTCAGGTGAATTTGGGCCACATATTTCACACATGTCATACCACAAACTACCATAACAATCTAAACATTGGCGCGACATATATACCCTCTGGTAAACTAACATAGCTATGGAAAATCACATTTTTTAATTGGTAAATTCACTATATATAAATCACCATTTTCAATAGCTATGTTAAATTACCAGAGGGTATGTGGAAAAAGGAACAAGCAGTGCTTCATACGGCTTTGCTCGTGGAATATTGCCCAAGTGACCTGATTGCCTGGCATCAAAACGGGGCCGCTACCTGGCTGACAAAACGAGCGGTGCCGGGAGGCCACGAATTCGATCATGGAAGGAATCCTTTGCTCAATAGTAAGTGACCATTTGTGCTGGTTTTGGGGATCTCAATCTCAAATCATTTAAAAACACACTTGCAGAAAGGAGTTGATCATGTTTTTGGCAATGTGCCTTTATTTTGGAATGGTGGGAGACTGAGAGAATCAAAATGACTCAAATCTGGCAGCTACATATCTACGCAACCTAACGACGGCCATTTTTGAAAGCGTTCAAAGGGTACGGAACGGGTAGACTCACCCCTGAAAAATAAATTTGATCACTCGGAACAAATTCGGGATTTGGAGGTGGGCGTACGATATTCATGTAGGGGGAAGGAGCTATAGTTCATAGAAGTGCCTCATCCGTTGATAGCCGCAACCTACCCCATCAACGGCCCATCAACCAATGGCTGCAGCTGCTCCGGGGCACCATTCGGCACATTCTGCTTCTCCACCACTAGCCGCAGATCGTCGTCGTTGCGGTAGCAGCCGTTCTCTGACGAATCCTGATGACGGCTGGAAAATGGCGTCAAGATCGTCAAGGAAAAACAAACTCAAAAAGGTGGATGCTTAATAATTAATGGATTTTCTATGATTTTGCCACCTCCAGGATGTAGCTCCCCAGAGGATATTGGCATATTGGAATATCTGAAATTTTGAACCTCATTCCATGCCATGGTTCAGCATCATGTTCTCCAAAGAAAAAAAATCGTTTGATTTTCAGGGTAACCATCATAATCACATGTAATCACAAACTCACGCGGATGTGGTGATGTTCCATAGCTAGCTGTTAAATTACCGGAGGTCATCCATCCATGGTTGATCCACATAGCACCATAGTTGTTGGAGGAACCACGCGACCACCAACCTGCAACGACGACGCCAAAACGTCCACCCAAGGAACATTGACCAAGCGCTGAAACTGCGTGGAATCGATGTGTCTAGATTGGCCTCAGCTCAAAAAGTCGCAGGTGGAGGAGGTGTCAAATTGCAACCCCAAAAATATATCCTTGAAAATACATTATATTATATATCATGGGGAAAACTTTGCCAAAGTAACCTGGACGCACTTTTCTATCAATTTTTGGGACCCCTCTATAAAAATGAATCTGGCAAAATCAACCTGTCAAAATTTCAAACAAGTGTTGACATCACCAACATGATTATACCATCCCTGCCATATAGTGTGTTGGAAGACTATATAGTTCCGCCTAAAAAAGGCGAATACTAGGGTCTATGTTAAATCACCTGCCGGAAATCACGTACTCTAATCGATAAGTTACAAACCAGATGTTGCACCCTGACACCAGAACCATGAAACCCCAAATCTACACAACTTGCCCAAAAAATGATTCCACTTATCACGTTCAAACCCCCTCCATCCCCCTCCTGCCATTGGACCCAAGCTGCCGTCAGGCTGGGATCTGGAAGAGCTGAGCAATTTTTCGAGATCATCGTCAGAGGCATAGCAGCCATTGTCTGACTGGTCCTGGGTCTACCAGGCTCGAATTTTGGCCAGCAATCCTCATATCATAACTTGGAGCGAGGGATTTGTATTGATTTCTAATGATTTGTGTAGTGGGATGTCTAGGTTTGCCAGCTGCTACACGCATTCAGAACCACTTTCCAAACCCCAGATAGCGACTGACCGGTCCACAACAATGTCACTAAGGCTTGTACAAGAAAAGGGCGCTCCCGAAAAAAGATACAATGGTCAAATTTGAAGGACATCCAAGGCGCAAAATTTGAGATTCTCGTTCTCAGAAACTTCCAAATGATTTTAAACATGGAAGGATTGCAATTACTTATGAGCCGGGGTGCATGGTTTTCAGGGCCCGGACCCAGATTTTCACAGAATAGATCACAGAGCAAACCTGCGGAAAGCTTACCATTTTTAGCGACCAACAAACCAACAATTACTGCTTACCCCAGAAAAAGAACTCATCAATATCTTACCATCTAATTGTGATTATATAAATCTAACCTCAACATTCCAATTTACACCACTCGTCAAATCCAAGTCAAATATAACATTAAATATCCCATTAACATCACATTTCATATCTCATTATGATCTCTACCATATATTTTAAAACCATTTAAAACCATCAATATCCCCATTGTCCCTATGGCCATGGATGTCCCTATTATACCATACCAAGCATCGTTGACCAAGCGCACGAAAGTGCTCAAAGCGATCCGAGCATCTGGACCTCGGCGTGATGACTGGTGACGACTGGGGCCCCCCCATGAACCCCCTGATATAACCCTATGATACCCTATGTATTGTACATTATCGATTAAATAGCAATATAGGATGTTCGTGGAATCTGAGCATGATAATATACTGTATTGGATGTTCATGGAATCTGAGCATGATAATATAGGATGTTCATGGAATCTGAGCATGATAATGTCCGATGTTCGTGGAATCTGAATCTTTTTATATAGTTATGTTCAACCAAAAAGTGCGGTCCCTTACCCCCCCAAAGGGTCACTTAACTACCTCAAAAGGGTCACTTTGAAGAACCTCATATATAACTATATAACATATAGCTCGGCCAGTATTATCTATAGATATTCATTGCATGATAATAGGATTTTCATGGACTTCGAATCTCGATGATTTAGACGATAACACGTGTTAATTGATTCAACCACAAATCATTAATGAGAATTTGCCTTTCTATTTGCGATACACTTGACTGTGAAGGGAATACCCCAACGATGGCGATATTCACCATAAACCCGCTATATATATATGTATATATGGTTGGTGGTTTCAACTCATGAAGGCACAGGAGCAACATTAATCAAACATAATCAAACGTTTAGAATATCTATGAATGCCATCAAATGCTTATCATATTCTCATGAGAGTTCCTCAATGTTCCTCGCAGCCGTTCGTACCTGTCGTATCTGCAGCTTAGACGCACTCCTGTCGCAGCAGTTCAAACTCTTCTTGCCATTCCCGGTCTGTGCCGGTGAAGCCTGGAAGCTGCACCAGCTCTGCCGTGGGTGGCCAATCGGAGCTGCACTTCCAAAAATGTCTTGCCCCTAAGACATCTATAAGAATCTGAGACCAAAGATCCCCGTAGAAACTAAAAGTCTAACATATTTACTTATAAAATCTGATCAATTCCGCTTTGGGAGACCAACGGGAATGGATTTCATATGATCAGGGCGATGGGAGTACTCAACCAACCCAAACACCACCAGCCAACCATTGGTTGAATTGCGATGGATAATAATGGCCCGAAAAACAAATAGTAGAAAGTAACATCATGCTAGAATAGCCTCAATTAATCTCTTCCCCCTAATATTCAATACCACTGAGCCGAAACCCTAGTTTAGTATTGGATATCTTCATTTTGCTAGTATAGGAGCTGTTTAACATGATCGAGATTCGCAAGTACTTATCCATTAAGCATCCATGAGTTATCCATTGGTCCATTGATCATCTACAACCGGGCCATTATACATAGCACATGATAGCAAAGTGTCAGGTTTACTTTGCAATACTTTTCCAGAGCCCCCAAAAAGATAGAAACACCTTTCCAGGATGGTGTACGTCGATGATGTTTTCCCCATCATTTCCAAGTGTCCAAGGCCCTAGCCATCGCCAACAGCTCCAAGGAGCCCGTGAGCTCCGCAAAGGGTCTCATTTCCACTGCGCTGAGGTACCCCGAGCCACTTCGGTTGAGGAAGCGAAAGGCAGACTCTACCAAGTCGGCTCGGTCACCTGCGCTGAAATTGCGCTACCACGGATGGATTTTGGGGGAACTTCTGGGAAAATTGAATGAACATCATGATTTGTGCTAATTCTTAGCCCTAAATTTCCTTGGCTTTCATGCATGTCTTCTCCGTCAGAAAGCGCCGGGAGACAGCGGGAAACCACTTCCGCAGCCATGGAGAAGAATCGACTCCAGGTGTGACGCTGTTCTTCAGCATTCCGTGGGGCACTGCTGAATCTTGTCCGCAAAAACTGGGGAACATGCCTAAGCAACATGGTATGAAACATGAGGAAAAATTGCAAATTACCAATCAATCCAAAGCAGCACGCAAACCAACGGTTGATAAGTGGTTTGGGGTAGTGGTCTGTAAATCCAGTCAACGGTATTGTCACAATCGTGAAGCCACCCAGATCCCAAACAACCAAACCAAACCTAAGTTTGGGGCAGTGGACAAAAACCCGAGCTAACATCAAATAGACAAACAGCAACATCCAGAGTTGTAAATCTATAGGGGTCTATAACACGAGGAATTCCTAGGTGGTCAAACCCTCCAACAATCCTAGGGAAATGATCTTGTGTGCCATTGTCAAAGTATGATTGTTTTTGTTTTCGGATGGGTAATTATGGTCATCCCAGCTTCATGAACGGGATTCCAAACATACTGTACATATAATATATATATATATATTATATATATATATTATATATATTATATATATATTATATATATATATTATATATATATGGGTATGTCTCAAAATACCGTGTCCAACCCGGGAAGTTTGACTAGGGGGTATGATTCGTGGGTATGATTCGGGGTATGATTCGTGGGTATGATTCGCGGACCTTGATTTAGTGTTTCCCTGCATCCCTCGCGTATGGTTATTTACCCACACTTACCCCGAAAATATTTCAACTGTTGGCAATTCTACCATACGTGGGGCGCTTTGGAGCTGGCATGCTGTTGACGCTGTGCGTGCTGCTGTCAGAGTGGTGTGTGCGCTTTGGAGCGGGCATCGTGGTGCCGTTGGAATGCTGCTGCAAGGTGCTGGTGCAGGGTGTTGCTTGCTGTCAGAGTGGTGTGTACAGTTTGGAGCAATGCTGGTGGCGCTCAGGGTACTGCTGCAGGTGCTGCCTGAGGGTGATGATTGAAGGTGCTGCTGTCAGAGTGGTGTGTGCTGTAAACCTTGCTTTGGAGCGGGCATGCTGGTGAGCGGATGCGGGTGGAAGGTGCTGCAAGGGGTGATGCTTCTACGTACTGTACCCAACTCGTGCTGCAAGGGTGCTAGTGAAGGGTGCTGCTGCACGCTGCAGGGTGCTGTTGTCGGATTTTTCTCAGAAGCAGCACGAGGCGTAGTGTAGCCCGTGGCGAATGGTTGCAAAATGTTGCAAAGAAAAGAGCTCACAAAACACAAGTTCTGATCTTGCAAATGTACCAAGGTTCAGAATTGGGAAGTTTGAGGTATGATTCGGGTATGATTTCGGGTATGATTCGGGGTATGATTCGGAAACCCATCTTTTTTTGAATTCAGGAAGCTTTGTTGCTTGAGTCTCTTTTTCCCACCGACAACCTACTACGATTGCTACTTTGTCAATGGCTGCAATGGCTCGACCTGCCAGACGACCTTGGACAGGACCTGAATATGAAGAATGTGAAGATCCCAATGCACATCTATGATTTATATCCGCCGGCCTGCCGGCGTCTCTTCTGGATGTTCTTCTCATGTACCTTTAGCTCAGCTACGCTTAGGCTTATGATCCTCTTCGATGGAGTTTTGGTTTGGTTGCCAGCCAGCCAGCCAGCCAGCCGCAGCCAGAGTCATCCCCCTCATCAGCCTCATCAGCAACACAGCAAGCAGCCAGCCACGCAGCCAGCCAGCTGTAACTAGCCAGCCCTATAGCCAGCCACCCAACCAGCAGCAGCAACTGAGCCAGCCACCTAGCCAGCCAGCCAGCCAGCCAGCCACCCAGAGCCAGCCAGCTTAGGGATAATGATGAGACTCTGCGCGCGTGGAGAAGATTCGCCACTCCGTGAAGGTATGTGAAGGTAGCCAGGGATCATCGGGTCTGGCCAACACTGGTCAATTAGCTTGTCAGGTCCATTATAACTAGTGAGGCCAATGCAATCCCAAACAATCCCAAAAGAAACATTCATAATCGTGATTTTTTGGGGTATGATTCGGGGGTATGATTCGGGGGTATGGTTCGCACAAATCGAACTTCCTGCCTTTACTAAAAACTGCACGCGTTAAAAAAAGAGACAGCCATATATATATATAAATCATATATATATATATATAAATTATATATATATATATTATATATATATCATATATATATCATATATATATATATATCATATATATATATATATCATATATATCATATATATCATATATATGTATATATCATATATTATATATATATCTTATATATATTATAATATATATATATATATATAAATTATATATATAAATTATATATATATAAATTATATATATATATATCATATATATCATATATATCTTATACACACAACGCAACAACAAACACACACACACACCATTTCAAACCTTGACTACAACAATGGGGGGCTGTCCATCCCTCGGTCAACTCACCCGGACTGTGCCTCGAGGTTTGGCCTCAGCGACAAAAAAGGTGCCCCTAGAGGCCCTAGGTTTGAAGGCAACTTCTATAGCTTTTATATGGGAACCATGGGGATATAGTGGGGGTTCATTGACATGTCTGCCTGGAATTCTACAAATCATCCATCAACCCCAAAAACATCCTGACTTCTTTTGAGGGGATAGTTCATGGTAACTTCCGCCAATCCTAAAATGTGTTTTTGTTAATGAGATGTTTGTTCCACGTAGTGTTTCTTCAAATACCAGTAGTTATATAATTGTCTGACAAAGAAAGATAACAAACTTGCAGCCATATCTCCAAAATGTGCGGCCACTGGTGGCTGTCTGCAATTGGGTATGAACCACTTGGCACGACATCAACCCCCAAAATGGTTTCACTTCTCCCTTCCTCCTCATATCAAATATCCCCAACAAGGGACCCCAAAATGAATAGATCGAATACTAAAAAAGGCTTTCGACGTTGGAATTCAATAAAAGTGGCAAGAGATGGCAGATGGATTAATGGGCGCATCCCAGCCACCAGTGTCACAGCATCAGCTAAGGGTGGCCACAACTGAGCTGCCGACCATCGTAGCTTCTGCTTGTTGCCCTGTGCCTCAATGGATCTGGGTGGAGGCTATGGCGGCGGTGAATCGGCGTTAAATCCCTATCGTCTCTTGGCTATGTGCGGCACTTCTTTATCACCCATCTACGGTTGTTGAAATCCAATGCCCCCATCTATTTGGGTGGATTGCCACAATTCAACAGCCCAATAAACTTTTGGCAAGTTTGAGATAATTCCATATAATTCCATATAATTCCACCTTCCTGACAATTGTCAATTGTCATCAATGTTCCATACTTCCCCAGCTTTCTTCAGTTGAAGTTGCCGGGAGAAAACTCGGACTCCTTCGACTCGATCAAGCTCGGCACATGGCGAAGGATGTCGTCCGAAGCATAGCAGCCGTCCTCAGACTCGTCCTTGGTAGTTGCCAGATGCTGTTGATGTGTTTAATGGGAGTTTAGTGGGATTTTAACCATCAACAATATCTGATTGGTGGTTGACCTACCCCTCTGAAAAATATGAGCCAGTTGGGGTTACTATTCCCAATACATGGAAAAAATGTTCCAAACCACCAACCAGATAGGAATGCTGATCCACTACTGGTGTCATCAAACCTGATGGAGGTCTCTAGCTGAAAAAAATGAGTCGACATACTACCGGAGATTTTTTGCAGGTAAATACCTCATACATGGATGATCTGGCTAATCTGAGTATGACTCAACCGTAGTCTTAGGGGTGTTCAATTCTCGAGCGCAGTTGGAACATCTTGGAACACTCACCAATTAAGGGCCGAAAACATCCAACAACTAGTACCCAACAGTAAACTAAAAATAATCCGTGTGGAAAACCCACCAATTTGTAGATCATTTTCCTAGGGAAATCATAGGTTTTCCACATCTCGATTAGTTTACCCCAGGGTAAGCAAGATGTCATTTGAAACTGAGGTGAGTATACTGGACGAGTAATTATGGCGTACGTTACCTGAGCATTGAATGGTCACGTTTCGTGTCATCTAAAATCCCGTGTAAGTTGGTTGACGGCCAATGTAATAGCCATCCATAATTTATATAATATATATGATATAATTTTGATATAATTACAAATCGATAGCTCCAAACATCTACCATAAACTCTGAAGATTTTCATTGAACAAATGTGTTCTCATTGAAAACGTGCACAATTTCTTGGGCTCCCTGTTGGTTCTCAGGGGTGTAGTTTCCAATCAATGACAGTTACCAGGAACTGAACTTGCCTCCGCTTTGCATTGATCTGGAAAAACATTTCAATTGCAGCCCTGATGTCGGTGTTTTTTCGGGATTTCACGCAACTTTCGAAGCCTCCCCCTAGAGTCAGCCAACATTGAAATATACTGAGTACTGATGAGTTAGGACTTGTGGCCTCGGATGAGAGAAGACTTGCTAGGGTCTAGTCCTATCTCTAGCCACATGAGTTAGGAGTTTTGGTACCTGGGATTTGCCAAAACTCCCAACTCATGTGCGCTGAGCCCGCTTTGAGACCTGCTTTTTAGACGTGGGGAAGGGTATCCTGACCGGAAGCTACCGGAGGCTTGTGGGAAATTCCGGACGTGCACGGAAAGAGTTAGAGGTAACAAGGGGGAGACACGTGGCCGTCTGTTCTCCGCGAGCCGTGTCGCTTCCCGGTAAAGGTAACAACAGGGAGACACGTGGCCGTCCGTTCTCCGCGAGCCGTGTCGCTTCCCGTTGAGGGTAACAATTCAGGGAGACACGTGGCCGTCTGTTCTCCGCGAGCCGTGTCGCTTCCCGTTAAAGGTAACAACACTAGAGAAACAACGAGAAAATGAAAAAAGTTGCGTTCAGTAACAATATACCCATGAGATGGGAATTCGGAATTCTTCATGGGATATAGATGCCCTAACTCCTATCTCATGTGTCCAAACTGTAGCCTATAGCCTATAGCATTAAAAACCATAAACCGTGGGAATGTAAAAACTTGATGCAGGTATCCTTCAAATGACTAATAGAACCACATGAGATAGGAGTTTGGCACCTTCAAAGGGCAAAAACATAAAACTTTACTCATGAGACCCTCCGACAACTCCTATCTCACCTGTACTGAGTATAGATAAGATTAGAAAGCTGTATCCCCCTCTGCAAGCTAACATAGACGTGGAAAACTCACCATTTGTAGATCATTTTCCTGGGGACAGCCTGGTTTTCATGGTGCACATTTGTTGCTATCCCCGCAACTTCGGTTTCATCCTTTCAGGTCGCGAGAATGAGGCATCGAAGTTCCAATGATTGAAGACAATACTTGGAGGATCACAACACTTTGTAACTGCTTGGCCAGTGGGGTTCTCACCCAGTTGCAAATCGGATAGCCCCATTAGAGGACTTACCAGGGATATAAACGAGTTACGATCTGTGGGATTTACCTCCGGTGAATGTCGACCAGGATCAATAAACCACCAGTTCATGATAGGATTTGTTACTCTCTCTCTCTCTCTCTCTCCCTCCATCGCCATCTGTCAAGACTGCCGGCGGCAGTTGCGAGAATGGAGGCTATTTTATCACTCCTTTATATATACTACGATATACTACGATTTAAAAGATCTTGCAATGGTAACACCGCCAATTGATGGAACATAGCAGTCCAATCCCCAACAGTATAGTACCAATTCTTCCCCATGTGAGTTTTTACAAATTGATGACCCATCACGGTGATTTTTCCTCCAGGCGTCGTTCACCAACCGCTCGAAGTCCGTGAATGGGATCCCAGATGAGGATGAGGCACCTGAGGTGCCCGGACTTCCGGTGGGATCCCCATGGTTACACCAGAGGTCTGGGTCTAAATGTGTGAGTTTAAGATGGGGAACAATATCTTTTAGGGAACCAAGAGGGGTTCCCATAGCATCGAGATTTCCGATGGTTATACTGGCATATACCTGAGGGATCTGAAGGATATATATATATATACATACACATAATGGGAATATCACTGGGATATATCTGGATAAATGAGATATAATGAAGCAACAATATAATGTTATACTTGGGTTTGTCATGCTTTGTCCAAGAAGTGGAGGGGGATACACAACGAATCACGGCGAAACCATGCGAAATGATGATCAACCACCGGACCGGTAAAAGCGACAGTAGCTGCGGCTTAGTGGCACTCCTTTCTCACCAGCTCAAACTCTTCTTGCCATTCCCTGTCTGTGCCGCTGAAACCTGATGCACGATGCACTGGAGGCCATGATGTGATGAATGTGTCCTTCAAAACTCATCAAAACATAGAAAGAAACAAGGGTTGTAAAAATAATTGGCACGAGTTTTCCATGGTTTTCCTACAACAATTCCTATCCAATTCTGGAAATACACCCGCAGAAAAGACTCTCAGGCAGGCTCTAGTTGGGGATGGTTTATACAACTTTTTCCGGAAAAAATGGTATGATTATGGTTTATAGTTTTAGCTTCACCACATTGCCTCCAATTCCATAAACCTGGCTTGGGGATGATGGCTAGTATGTGTGTCAGTATCCATTAATGTTGGCATGATCCTTCGAGGATGTCGATTTCACCCGCATCAATGGACATTTCTATGGCTTTCTGGCTTTCTCCAAAAAAAACAAAAACTGAAGGGTATGGATTCCCATATGGTAAAAAACCCAAAGATTTTACCACATGACCTGCCAGAAAAAAACCGCCAGGTCCAAGGCTCCCGTGAGCTCGGCAAAGGGCCGCATCTCAATGGCGCTCAGCTGCCCCGTGCCGCTGCGATTCAGCGCTCGAAAGGCCGCTGAGATCAAGGAACGACGGCTGAGAGCAGCCTCGGAGGGCTCAAAAGACTCAAGGCCGGAGATCTGGGTCAAATAACGGTCAAATGATGGTCAAAATAAGTCTAAGGACTTTGTTGGGATTAAAATACTGTTAAATGATGTGTCATATTTGTTTTCAGCAGTTAAATCCAACTATAGTTAACACAAAATGGATGCAACTTACATCTTTGAAAACTATGGAAAACGAATCGAGGTATGACTGTTTGTTCAACACAGATGTTTTGGTCATTTTGGTCTCAAAATGGTGTCAAAATGTGCTCGGTCATCCCGGTTTCTCCAGTTCTCAGCAAGTAGCTAGCTTAATAGGCAGCTCATAGTGCCTGTTTATCCTATCAGCAGACTTTTCATTACGGAAACGGTACAAGGTCTTAGAAGTCGAATGTTACTTTTGACATTCCCGCTCCAGCTCAAAGGTACGTGTCTCCCTCAAAAAAAATGTTTTGCCCTAGATTTAGTATATTATATGGTTGGGATTGCATAGGTATATATATGATGAAGCTCAAAGCTACCTTGCTGGCTGACTGCCTCCTTGCTAGCTCAAAGCTACCTTGCTGGCTCAGTGACACGTAGCTGGCTCAATGCTTCGTTGCTGGCTCAGCGCCTATAGTAGCTGGCTCAGCGCCTCGTAGCTGCCTCAGCGCCTCGTAGCTGGCCCAATTTTTTCAACAAAAAAAACGGAAAGAAAAAAAACATTGAAAAAATTGAGCCAGCTACATGCCCTTGAGCCAGCTCGATGTCCCGTCATCAACCCGGCCAATACATAGTAAGTATTCGTTTTGATGCTCTCACATTTGTTCGCCAGCTCAACGTGACGTAGCTGGCTCAATTTTTTCGAGTTTTGTTTTTTCGTTTTCGTTTTTTTTTCGTTGAAAAAATTGAGCCAGCTCGATGCCACTGAGCTAGCTCGATGTCTCTGAGCTAGAGCGATGTGTTTGAGCTAGAGCAATGTCGCTGAGCCAGCTCGTTGCAGTTGAGCGAGCTCGCAGAAACTTCCCAATCTGTTAAATTGCCAGGTTCTGTCCCCACTGATTAGCTTAGTACTAGATATGGTACCTCTGAAAAAGCCCAAGGTGACTGTCAAAGACATACCCCTGATGAAATTGAGCCAGCTACATGTTTTGAGCTAGCTCGAAAAAATTGAAGATTGTGGATTGCCACTTTCAAAGAAGAATGATCTTCAGATCCAAGCGGAGCAAACCGATCACAAAGTAGAGTAAAGCATGTCATGCAGTAGAGACAGAATAGAACAATACTCACGGGCATCAATGTTTTCTCTCAATGCAAGTTCCCACTTATCACTTGCCAAAACAAATAGTTCGCCAATCACTCAAAATATCTCAAAATGTAAGTGACCCTTCCAGCATATCTCTCTCTCTCTCTCTATCTCTCTCTCTCTCTCTCTCTCTCAGTCTCTCTCAGTCTCTCTCAGTCTCTCTCAGTGTCTCTCAGTCTCTCTCAGTCTCTCTCAGTCTCTCTCAGTCTCTCTCTCTCTCTCTCTCTTTTTCCTACGAGAAAGAGATGCTGCTAAGGGACAGGAAGGCCTTGGGCTGCCTCTGCGGTGGCAGCTTGCGGCGGGTGCGACTTCAGCAGTTGGCGGAGATTGGCGTCCTCACAATAGCAACCATCGTCTGAGGCATCCTGAGGCGCATTCCAGTATGGGATCGCATGGCTGTCAAATGCTGTGTCTGCTGTTTCCTATTCTGGTCTATGGAACCTAAACTTGCTTCCCATTTCATTCCTGTGTCGCTTCCAATCCCTTCTTCCTTTCCTAGATACACCGCATGAAAAAAACAAGTTGGGCAATTTGATTCTTAACCCCCCTCAGAAAACAATTTAAAAATCAAGGTCCCGTTTACGGGTTTCACCGTTTAATAATCTAATAAATAGTATATGTCTAGGGGTTGTTTATTACTAGGGTCCGTCTTTTAATCAAACACATATATTTATGAAGAACAAATAGGTTTTGACTTTATCATTGGGGGATATTGGGAAGCAGTTTCGATATCCAGTTTTGGACAATAATATGTCATGGGGGTTTTAGTAAGGGATTTGATCGATTTAGAAAAACACTTTTGGGTTTCATTGAAGTTTTGATTCTATTGTGACGGGGAAGCCTCTCACCCTAATACCCCCTAATAATAAAACTGTTCCAGGTGTTCAATTCTTCGGAGGTGCATGGCGGGGCCGTTTAGTAGTACGGCCGGGACTTCTGCTATGCCTCAAAGTCTTCTGGGATGATTGTCGGAACTCTCGTTTTTGGTGACCCTTGCTGTACTTTGCGGCTTTCTAGCATTTGAGTACGATATCTATAATAACTAGATGGCTCTGGGTTTGCGAACCCAGAGACGTCGTTGATGGCCCTCTGCGGTGAATCTGCTGTCCCCCAAGCTGGTTGTCGTCACTTATGACATAAACCCTTCAAGAACCCTAGGAAAAAAAACCTACAGAAACCCTAAATGAATCCTCAAGAAACCCTAAAGAAACCTTAAATCAACATGAACAAAACTCGTGAAAGTATATGTAGTAAAGTACCTGTGGGGCGAAGCACACGTGCTGTGAGTAGGATTAGGGAGGAAGGGATTATTGCCACGTATGCCATGTGCAGTTTACGAACAGGATCGAAGTCAGAACATAAGCAGCATACGCATGTCAAAACATGACATCATTTTTTGAAACACAAGGAAACAAAGGGGATGAGGAAGAACAGAAAGATACCTTTCCATAGCCAAACAAACGCCCTTCTGCCGTCCAGCAATCCAACATCCTTGCATGGTCTCCTATCTATGATTATCTACGTCACAAGCTGTCCAAGCATCATTGACCAAGCGCTCGAAATCCGTGAAAGCAATCCCGGGCTTAGATCCATCACCTCATCTTCAGCAAGTGGATCATTTTTAAAAGTTGCCTACAGCAGTTGGTTTGAACACGTGAGGGAAGAAATCGTGAACACATGATGATATTACACGAGTTTTCGGTTGGTCTAGCTGTAGCCAGGCCACGAATATAAAAGAAAAGTCGATAAAAGTTTGTCCCTCCCAAAATACGGATACAGCAGGTCCTAGACACTTGATTGAATCCCCACCCAAACTTTCCCCATCATTATCTCCTTGAGATGCAGCTTGGGTGCACTCCTGTCTCAGCAAGTCAAACTCTTCTCGCCATTCTTGGTCTGTGCCTGTGAAACCTTGGATCGAACATGAACCCGCCATACCAGCCCACATCAGCAATGGTGAGATTGACCTCACTGCTTTACACACTTCAAGTCCACTCAAGAGAAACAGTTGAAAACATGCATTGCACTCTTGCTCATTGATCTCATTGTTGGGCAAGAACAACATAGCGCACCTGTGCCGAGATGTGCTGAATGCATTTGAAGAGACCTGTGAGCTCTGCAAGCGGCCGCATCTCAGGTGCGCTCAGGTAGCTTGATCCACTGGTGTTCAGGGCATCAAACACTGACTTGATCAAGGCCGCACGATCACTTCCTGGTCGGTCATTGCTCTGATGGCCGTTTGGCGCCTCAGGTGAAGTTGGGCCACATATTTCACACATGTCATACCATAAATTACCATACCAATCTCAACATTGGGGCGACATATATACCCTCTGGTAAACTAACATGGCTATGGAAAATCACAATTTTTAATTGGTAAATTAACTATATGTAAATCACCATTTTCAAAAGCTATGTTAAATTACCAGAGGGCATGTGGAAAAGGAACAAGCAGTGCTTCATACGGCTTTGCTCGTGGAATATTGCCCAAGTGACCTGATTGCCTGGCATCAAAACGGTGCTGCGACCTGGCTGAGCCCACTCGGTGCCGGGAGGGCACGAATTCGATCATGGAAGGAATCCTTTGCTCAATAGTAAGTGACTATTTGTGCTGGTTTTGGGGATCTCAATCTCAAATAATTTAAAAACACACTTGCAGAAAGGAGTTGATCATGTTTTTGGCAATGTGCCTTTATTTTGGAATGGTGAGAGACTGAGAGAATCAAAATGACTAAAATCTGGCAGCTACATATCTACGCAACCTAACGACGGCCATTTTTGAAAGCGTTCAAAGGGTACGGAATGGGTAGACTCACCCTGAAAAATAAATTTGATCACTTGGAACAAATTCGGGATTTGGAGGTGGGCGTACGATATTCATGTAGGGGGAAGGAACTATAGTTCATAGTAGTGCATCATCCGTTGATAGCCGCAACCTACCCCATCAACGGCCCATCAACCAATGGCTGCAGCTGCTCCGGGGCACCATTCGGCACATTCTGCTTCTCCACCACTAGCCGCAGATCGTCGTCGTTGCAGTAGCAGCCGTTCTCTGACGAATCCTGATGACGGCTGGAAAATGGCGTCAAGATCGCGAAGGAAAAACAACTCAAAAAGGTGGATGCTTAATGGATTTTCTATGATTTTGCCACCTCCAGGCTGCAGCTCCCCAGAGGATATTGGCTTATATTGGCTTCTCTGAAATTTTGAACCTCATTCCATGCCATGGTTCAGCATCATGTTCTCCAAAGAAAAAGCATCGTTTGATTTTCAGGGTAATCATCATAATCACATGTAATCACAGACTCACGCCGATGTGGTGATGTTCCATAGCTAGCTGTTACCCTCTGGTAAATTAACATAGACCCTGGCAGATAGGGGTTGGAAGACTAGTTTCCATTAAAAATTGGCTATTTTCAGGGTCTATGTTTATTTACCAGAGGGTAAATTACCGGGGGTCATCCATCCATGGTTGATCCACATAGCACCATAGTTGTTGGAGGAACCACGCGACCACCAACCTGCAACGCCAAAACGTCGACCCAAGGAACGTTGACCAAGCGCTGAAACTCCGTGAAATCGATGTGTCTAGATTGGCCTCAGCTCAAAAAATCGCAGGTGGAGGAGGTGTCAAATTGCAACCCCAAAAATATATCCTTGAAAATGCCTTATAATATATATATATATATTAAGATATCATGGGGAAAACTTTGCCAAAGTAACCTGGACGCACTAGCCTCTGTCAATTTTTGGGACCCATCTGGCAAAATCAACCTGTCAAAATTTCCAAGTGTTGACATCACCAACATGATGATACCATCCCTGAAGACTATGGTAGCAGTAGTTGTTAAAGCATGACGGCAACAATACTAATGATATAAATTTATATAATTACATTTGGAAATGACAATAATAAGTATAAGAATTCATCATCATCATCATCATCGTCATCGTCATCGTCATCAACATCATCGTCATCGCCATCGCCACCGTCATCATCGTCATCATAATCATCATCCTCATCATCATCATCATCATCGTCATCGTCATCGTCATCAACATCATCGTCATCGCCATCGTCATCGTCATCATCGTCATCATCGTCATCATCATCATCATCATCATCAGTATCATCGTCGCCATCATCATCATCATCATCATCATCATCATCATCATCGTCATCGTCATTGTCGTCAAGCATTTTATTGTTGGCACTCTCCTATTGTCATGGGTGAAACAAGCGGAAAACACATGCAAGAAATCCATCGGTTTGGAGAACCGCCCAAAATCTCATCCTCAATGCCATCATTTTCCGGCCATTTTTGGGCGCCCGACAGTTATTGCACATGACAAACTCATGTAAAGAAACGGGCTCAGGTTCTACCCCAATATCTTTTTGGTGCACAATCAAATGATCAAAGAGTGCTGGCAGCCAGCAATCCGTCGATCCGCGTCCTCCCACATGATACATCACAAGTATGAAGTATGAACAACAGCTAATTTCCCTGGGCATGATACTCCACAATATCTCCGGAGTTTACAGCCAACAAATGAACCCAAACCCCGACCCTTCGCCAAGGTTAACCTAGCACTGCTTCAAGAGTTCAGCTCAGGTGCACTCTTGCCTCAGCAGTTCAAATTCCTTTCTCCAATCCTCATCCGAGCCCAGGAAACCTCAATGATTGGAGCGGGATCCATACAATTCTGACACGAAAGGGGAAGAAAAAAACAAATACGAGTGACTCAGTACTGGAAATGTCATGGAAACTGGCCATAGGTTTTGTTTTTGCATGCTTACACTTTTGCGTCACAGATCTTTGTGGACATCTGTGCTGCCCACCCTGAACTGCAAGTTTTGAGTTTCATAATTAGTTTTTGGAGGGGTACCATCGGGCAGTCAAGCATGGCAACTTGAACATCAAAGGTTTAAACTCCGTTTCCTTTTAACAACTGTTACTGTTCCATTTCGAACTTGGATCGCCAAGTTCGGTACCAAGTCGTTTAAGTCTCATGTGTTTGACGTCTGAATCCGGTGGTATTGCTGCTGATGATGATGCTGGTGATGGTGATGGTGATGGTGGTGATGGTCCTGATGATGATTGTTACTACTAAGTCCTCACGTGTCCTTATTTTGATGGCTAACCACCCCAGTTATCCCAACGTATTCCAACCTTTCGCCCACAAAATGTTTATTTTCCATTTCCATCGTTTTCCTGAAAAAAAAGTATGTAAGGGTATATCAAAGTACTGTAGCATATCTGCATCATGAATGCTACTGCCATTTCCTTTCTATCAAAATCAATGAATGCTTATTTCATGTGCAGAATATCTTCAGTTATTGTCATGTTATCATGTATTATTATACTAGAAACATGATCCCATCCAGAAGTCGCCCAGTTTACCACCCAAATTTTCCAGGGTTCTAATCCCATGGTATATCCCTTGAATGGTTTGTTAATACTTTCAGCATGATAATTGCTATTTTCCATTGAATAAAGAAGCATTTCTTAGAATGGGGGATCCCCAAGTCATCATGGGTTTCAATACTGAGTACCGGTCTAATGACTTGGAAAATTTGGGCTACCCCCATGACTTTGGAAACCTGGAAAAAATCCAGTTGATCGTCCCACTTAAGGAAGTGGTTTCTATAACCCGAGTAAGTCCGCAACTCATGGAATATCCCATGAATAGGTGAACTAACACCTAACCGAATCTAACCCCAGTGAATCCCAGTTACTAACTGGGGCCTTCGAGGTGATGCTCCAAGTAACCATTTATCATGTATTTGATGGGATAATATCCACCATTATATAATGGTTAATCAAGAACTTACGATCTATGGGATGATCCTCCAAGCACTTTGACGGAGCTATTGAACATTACCATTGATAGCTGATCTACACAGTAAAGTTAACATTGTGATGTTCAATAGCTACGTTAGTTTACCAGAGTCGAGTCTAAATAGCGGTTTACCATAAATGGGGGGGTACCCCAAATCATCCATTTCTAGATCGGCTTGTCCATCAAAAAAACCATCCAGCCACATTGGGGTACCCCCAAATCATCCAAGTCATTTGACCATCCGTTGAAACATCTTGAAACCTGGTGACTTGGGAAGCCTCCAAATTTTCAGAAAGCTCCTTAGATTGTCCACCAACCCAAAACCAACCAACATCCACCATCCACAGTTGGCCACGCCTGTGATCTCCGCGAAGGGTCGCATCTCCGCCGCGCTGAGGTGACCGGAGCCGCTGCGGTTCAGCGCTCGAAAGGCGCTGAAAATGAGGCTCTCGCGTGCGCTCGGCCCGCTGGGCCGGCTGGGTCCGCTGGGCGGGGCCAAGACCTCAACAAAATGGGCGCACAGGCAGAAATGGTGGATGTCCATGGAATTCACTGGCCAAGATATGGGCATTCAAGCAGAAAGTGGGATTCATGGTGATTCAACATGAAGAACTCAGGGATTTCAGCAGAAAGATCAGAATGCGGAGTTCAGCCAAACAAAATCGGATGTCACTGTCAGAAATCGCGATTCAACCAACAAAAGTGGAGGTTCAAGCATCAGGAGCTGGGATTTAAAATTACACTTGGAAACTCAACATTTAAGTAGTGGGAATCTAACCAACAAACATGTGGCCTTGTGAGATGATAACATTGAACAGCAGTGATTGAACTGGTACCCTGTTTCAACGGACTGATTCGATGAAACGTTTGGAGAATGTAGGGGGTCCCTTGAGCATCAATAATTTTTCAAAAGTGGATGATTGGAACATTTGAAAACACTTTTTTCTGGCAAAAGATCGGCCATGATCGGACCAAAACAATGAAATCTGGGTAGACCCAGGTATCGTCTAGAGATCCCTACCCTCTGGTAAACTAACATGGCTATTGAAAATAGCCATTTACAGTTGATCTGCCCATTAAAAATGGTAATTTTCCATAGCTATGTTAAATCTCCAGATGGTAAATCCCTATATTTTCCCTTATAAAATATATTTTCCCTATATTTTCTCTAAACGGTCCATACACATTCTGTTCATTGCCCCGTTGCCCCCTTGGTGCAGATCCCTGCCTGGGCCTGCGCTTTGGTGATGGCAGGGCCAAGGTCCAAGCCTAAGAGCTCGGTGTGAGCCATGGATCAAAATGTGTGAATTCATGATGAACCCAATGTATTAATCATGGAATATATATATATAAGTGTGTATATATATATCCCATTAATCGTTATAAATTATATATATATATATTAATATTATATATAATTTATTTATAACGATTAATGGGATAATAATGGGATACTACTGTAAGGTATTACATAGGTTTTTCGGTAATATAGATATGACGAAATTAATGCAACCATGTGGTAAATCCAATTCCAGAAAACCATCCCCAAGTCAGCACCATTTTTGTGGGTTGTATACGGACCATCCCCGGTAGAAATATCCTGCAATGGTCCCCAAACACAAAAAGAAATGAGCACACGTTAGACAAAAACGATGCCCTGAAAACAATCTAACCTTTGAACAGGACAATTAGCTTTTAAGGGAAATTCGAAAAGAGTTTGCTTTGAAGCCCCTGCCCATTTAGTTTGATGATTTGCCCATGAACATCCATTAACATGGTGCTTTTCTTCCCCAAACTTTTCACCAAAGGCTCCACTCGGCTCTGCGGACGGCAAGGACTCGAGCAAGGCCTGCAGTTCGCCATCAGAACAGTAGCAGCCCGCCTGCGACTGGTCCTAGGTCAGCCATCGGGCCATCGGGGCTTGGGATTCACCCCCAACAGTACCATGTTGAAAGCATGTTCCTCACTCGGTTACATGTAGAACATGACATAACAGGGCTGACATGGGGTCCCAACTGGTTTTGCGATTTGGCTGGTTTGGAATTTGTCAACTAGCCACGGCCCACACCCATTCTGAGTCCTAGCTTAATTGTTCCCACCAAAGGGAACAACACATCCCACATAATTGAAGAAGTCAACATGGCTTTTACCTCAAGGCCAAACACCCCACAAAATTGAGTTCTTGAGTCACATGGATTAAAACACACAAAGCATCATAAAACTGCACCGGCAGGCGGCCAAAGAAAATTATTCTTGCCAAGGTCAGGCGATGCACAGTGTGACAAAACTTGAAATCCAAAATCACCCAAGCACAAACATATCCAATGGCAAAATGATCGTTCAAAGACCACTTATTGGGGTTCCACCTTAAATTCTGGGAGGTGTCATTCCACGTCAGCCTGGTTATATAATAATATATATATAATTATATACTGTTAATACGGATTCCGACTTCATGGACGATGATCATATATGATAGTAATCCCCGATATGTTCGGTCGTATAATCCCAGAAAATCATCAACCAACAGGGGTGTTGAACGAAGCCACTATCATCAACGTCCGAGGCTCATTGACCAGGCGGTGAAAGTCCTTCAAGGCAATGGCTGACACCTTGCCTGGATGCAGCGTGGAGGCTTGCAGACCTTTGACACCTGGATATCCCGTAAAGAATCTATCTTCGGCACCACGGTACAAGTACCAACACATACACACGGACGCACAGAGTTATATATATATATACATATATCATATATATATATATGTGTGTGTGTATGTGGGGGCATGGTTGACACGGCATGGGCATAAACACCATGGTTTGGGGCGAGGTCTTTGATTTCATTCTTAGGTGGCCCATGGGCTTACCATATGATGTTTCAGCAATTGCGAAGTAAATTTCCTATGGGTTTGCTACGTAGGCTTCTGAATGTCTATACTTGGGCGTGCATCCCACTTAGAAAGTGCTTTCAAAATGTTTCAAACCGATATATGACTCGAAATATCCCATATATAACTGGGGTGAAATATAGTATACTATGGTGATGCCGAGTGCAGCTTGGGCACACTCCTGTTTGAGAATCGCAAATTCCGCTTGCCACTCTTGATCTGTGCCACCAAATCCTTTGTTGCAGATAGCCGACGGTAAGCTCAAACAAAGCCCTAGCGGCCCTAGCATGCCATGCGGATGCAAGAAACCAGAATCTGAATTCAAGTAGGATGAGGTCAACGCTGGTGCTCTTTTTCAATCCATGGTCGTTGTCGTCCTAGTATCGCGCAAATTAATGTTGAACCAGTGGAGAAAACAGTCTAGCCGAGTCTAGCCATCACTTGGGTACAAAATTTGGTATAATCATGTATAATCACTCTAATATGACTATAAATTACATTAAATTACTACAATCACTGGTAGAATATTAGTTCTTTCGCCATGTAGTAACCATCATCGCAGGCTTCCCCAAAACGCCATGGATGGAGGCATGGAGACCCAACTTGGCTGCTCCATTTGTCTTACTTCGTCAGTTCATGTCCTGCATTTACTCACAAACTACTTTCAGATGCTTATTACATCTTATTTATAAGAATTTATAGCAATATAAATATATAAATATATAAATATTATAAATATTATTATCAACTATTACATTGCATTACACCATACTATTTATAACATTTATATTGCATTATATTGCAAAATATCATGTGGTCTTGCCAATTCTTAGCCCCATCATGGTACTCCCAAATCCCCCAACCCCCGAAACCCCGGCCATGCCATGGCACCGGTGTGCTGGGCGAAGCGTTTCATCTCTGCCGCGCTCAGGTGCCCCGATCCGCTGACGTTCAGCCCGCGGAAGCACGCGGCGATCAGTTCGCCACGGGCCGTGGTGGGCTGCGAGGCCGCCTGGTGTGGGGAAGCCACAGTGGAGATGAAGTGAATCATAGGATGCATACAAATAATTGCGCATGCATGTATATATATAAGTAATATTAAGTAATTATAATATATATATTTAAATATATATATATATATTTTTTTATCACCATTTATATTATATGTAATATGTGTAATGTGTGTGCGCGAGCTGGGTTATGCATGTGGTCAGGTAGTTGCATAGTTGTAGTGTCCGAAAACAATAAGAGTAAAGCATTTACCCTATCGTACATGAGCTGGAATGTTCACAATAATGCCAAATATCGATTTAATTGACGGTGAAGGGACCATAAGGGACCCCAGTCCTAAAAACTTGCACATGTCCAAGCCACTCCCCTAGGAACCCTGAGTGGTGGAAGTGAATTAAGAATGATTACCGGCATGGGTCCCATCATTGCTGCGAGATTCAGGAATCACGCGCACACGCTAGTGAGCAATGATGCTGGTAAACGATTCATGATGGCTTACCTTCAGGTTGTGAATGAGGAGCAACCCCCCCATCAATATCATCAATCAAGCAAGCCTGAGGCAGTCTCAGATGGAAAAAGCACATCTATGCCAGTGAGTCTGAGAGATTACTGGGTTGCTCACTGTGATGTTTGCCCAAACAATGGACGTCCGGATTTTCTTGGGGTGGCCATCCCGCTTGGTGATTCACACCTGTATGCCATGGGACACTTGGGATATCACCAATATTTCAGAAAACAGCGCCACATAATGTCACCACTATTTCGTTTGTCATATCTCAGGTTCTTTTTTAAAAATGATATCTTAAAACTTCCAATATAGCAGTTCTACTTCTTTTCATCAACTGGTTGAGCCGTGTTGAAACCATCAAAAATCCACCAACTCTATCCATTTCTGCAGGTTCTTTCTACCTGTCGCATCATCCAGTGGTTCCAGGGGCCTTTGGAGCCGCGTTGGCGACCTGATCCGCGCCCGTAGCACCTTGAAGCCAGGGTGAAACTTCCGTTTTTCATGTAAAAAAAACAGAAACTTGAGGGCCGCGGCTTGACACCCCAGCGTGCCAGGAGGGGAAACACACACACACACGCATAATATAATATATATATATATAAATTATATTTATTTATATATGAGCAATCTCGAAAACCCTAGGTTCACGGAAAGGACATCCACAAATTTGGGAAGGTCCCATCGCTTACCACACGTTTGTACAATAATGATATATGGTAAACTTGGGGGGTATCGCTAGCAGGAAACTGCTACATTTTTTGTATTTAATTCACAGAAATCAACGTCCAATTTGTGTATCGCTAATATGGATATTAGAAAAATGCAATGACATAACCTTGAAAAGGGGTATCGCTAATTTGGGAAGGTCCCATCGCTTACCGTGTGTTTTTAACAATTTCCATCAATTTCCATAAACCAATGTCCGTCCAATACATATTTAGTATTGCCGGGGTTTTTGCGGTGGCTCATATATATATACATATGCGAATTATATTCTGTAATGTGGACTCGGTTCGTCCACCCTTCCACACTCCTGAGTCCTTGCTCCCTGATGGGGGCATGGCTAATTGCAAAGAAAGCGTGCCCCCATGAAACCAAGAGATGATGTCTCAACCCAAATCTCCAAGACATATGCCCTCCGAAAGCCAATCTTATCATTGGATTTAGACTTGAATTCCCAGCATTTTAAGCAGGACAAGTGACTGAAGCCATTTGGCACTCCAGACGCATTCAATGCAGTCAACGCATTCAACGCATTCAGCAACTCTCGCAGGTCTGAGTCCGAACAATAGCAGCCAGCATCTGATTCATCCTGCACGGCCATGTGATGGGTCGATAAGTGGGCGTGTAACTCATCAATGGTATTCGAATGTGCAGACATAGCTCGAAACTCACGACTTTCGGTAAATCATCGATAGAATTTCCGACTTTGACTGCCACATCTCTATGCACCCAGGGAAAAGTTGAAAAGGCCAACAGGGCCAATAGCCAGTGTTTCCGCTGCCCTGAAACCAAAAGTAGGTCACTGCCCCCAAATGGCGATCTGGGTGATATGGCAAATACACCCATGTACAGTATACACTACACATGATTCACACATGTGCACATGCGTATAAGTTTACATCTTTTCCGGTGATAAATATTGACACATATTGACACATACAAATACGTTCCTATGTCATCTATGTCTACATTATTGTACTATTACATACTATTACTACTATGCATATAATGTGTGTGTGTCGTCTAACTCCGTCTCTCCTTATAAAGTTATCTCTCTTACTTTCGCGGTTGCGAATTGCGAAAAAGGCTCATTGACCAAGCGCTGAAAGGTTCTGAAGTCAACAACTCCGCCACCTGGGGACTCCAGGACGATGGTCCAAGGTCCAATGGTGGAGAAATGTGGGGGTACCCTCCAGTAATCAACCGTGGCAGTTGAAAATGCCCTAAAAATGGCGGATTTTCCAATGGAACATCAACTACAAATGGAGGATTTTCATGGATTTTCCATTGCCACCTTTGATTGCGGGAGCGTCACCAATAGTACTAAGGGGAAAGGCTGAATTTCAACATATTTCAAAGTAAAAATATCGGAGCCACCCCCAAGTTATGGCAATTTTCCTGAGGAAAACATGATGCCCACGACATGGGATGGAATGGGATTCCAAATGCTTTATGTGTTTGACAATGGCTATTTTTTAGCCTCATTGGTAGGTACCATTAGGTACCCGTTAAATGGTTCCAATGAATCCACGACACCCCTTAGTTAACCAGCCCAGTGACCTTCAACAAAACATCCCAAAATGACAAGAATAGACACTCTAACAGACTATACAAACTAAGTATGCATATATACAAATGCATACAATAGATACATACTATAGAATACTATAAAAGAATCAAGTGAGCTACTAAGCCAAAACCTTCCGTGAGATTTCCGACATGCGGGGTCCGAATCTATACATGGCATGTGCGGAGGCACATTCTGTGGCCAACAGGTTGAATTCCTCCTGCCACTCCTCGTTGCTACCACTGAAGCCTTGGTGAAAACACCAAGGATAGTGGGGAGATCCCTGGCTGATCTGGCTGTTCACAACCGTGAACAGCCCATCCATACTGCCATACACACCAAAAATCTACCAAAATCTGCTGAATGTTTGCGAAATGTGTTGGAATCAGTTGAGTCAACATAAATTGTACGCGTCATCTTCCACAGCCTTACTTTCCATGTCCATCTATGTTACCAGCTGTACCCTCTGTCTATTTAACGTAACTAAAGAAAAGCATCAATTTGAATAATTCGAATGGACAAATCATGACAAATCATCTATAAAAAATCTATGCATCTATATAAATCATCTATAAATGGGCCATGACTTCCATAGCAATTATAAGCTGTCCAGCTATGTCCAGCAAAGGCACCCGTTTTCTCCGCGAAGGGTCTCATCTCCGCTGCCGACAGCTGGCCTGAAGCGCTGCGATTCAGAGCATGGAAGACCGAGTCGATCAACTGCTGGCGGGCGCCTGCTGGAGCACCTGCAGGTTTGCGAGGGATGGGCACACGGCGGCTTCGCCCACGAGAGCTGCAAAAAGGTGGCGGCCAAGTAGATTGAACAGTTGAGAACACATATCAGTTTGGAAAATCTTCGTTTAAGTAATCTTGGAATATCTTGGATGATGATAAAATGATGATAAACCCTTAGAAATCTTGGAATCATTTTGTGGTCCCCACTAGTCACTAGCAACATCTAGTCACTATATAATACTATATATATAGTAGTTCTGCACTAGTAGTGGTTCTGCGCTATTTCTCAATCATACCATATCATATCCAATTTCATAAACCAACCATGTTTGATAAATTTAGGATGGTTTATTGCTGTTGGTGTTGTCGTTGTTGTCATTAACTCATTTCGACATCATTTCTGTTACACAATCACCATTGTAAACATGAATCTCACTACCCGCATTAAATTGATTATCCAATTATCCGGATTTTATTGGTGTCATGTCCGCATCCTGATTCTTTTGATCCTCATTTCTACATACCCTCCGGTAAACTAACATAACTATTGAAAATCGGCACTTTTTATTGGCAAATCAACTAATTACAGTATCACTGGGCCATTTTCATCCATTTTCCATTTGTTAAATGACCAGCGTGTATTTCTACATCTTTCTACTGTATTGTGACCGGCATATGACCGGCGCGCCTGGCACAGTGCCAGGCACCGGTACCGCAGCCCTTGGAGGCGGTACCGTTGCAGCGCTTGGAGGCGGTAAAGGTGGCAACGACCGCAGGAGATCCCGGAGCTCCTCATCGCTACAGTAGCAGCCGGCATCGCTCTGATCCTTGGTTCACCACCGGGGAAGCACCGGTGGTTCACCACCGGGGAACCGGGGGATTTTGTCACCAAAACACCGAGCCATGCGGAGGTCCATCATGATTTCACTAGAAATTATAGCATTTCACCAAAAATTGGAGACTTCAGCACCCAAGAAGCACATTTTATCAGCAAGAATGAGGATTTCACATGACTTCACCGTCTTTTTTGGCAGAACTGGTGATAATTCTGAAGCCATCAAACATGGTGATTGTAAGCTTACAAAACAGTGTGGGCCATGAGCAAGTCATACCTCATTTGGGAGATGAACATACAAGTCCACAGACCGTTTTGGTACTCACCAGGCCAAAAAGGTTTTGACCATATTGTCAAGGAGAATCAAAAAATAGGCACTGGTTACAGTCACTGGTTCAATTTTGGTTCCACCGGAAATCAATGAATATGATTGAATATGTATATAATTGTATATATATATATATGTATATAACAAATGAGAATACAGTATACAGATGTATACAGTATAAATGATAATCCTGGGACAACATCCTGGCGGAATCTTGGGGATATACCGTACCAGTCATAGACTTCTCCGACTTCTCCGGCTGATCCAGTGACTGGGAGCTTTTCTGCTCCTGGGGGAAGCCCTGGGATCCCTAGATTGGAGGTAGCTACCATATATAAGGCCTATTTTTCAGGCCTATGTTTACGGGAATATCCCCAGAAAATATGGCCTGAAATATGGTACTAACGTACCTCCATTTTAGGATCCTGAAGATCTCCCATTGATTTAGGGTCAATTCACTTCGGGGAAGTATCGATCGTCACCTGTAGTCTCAGCCCAGCCCTTCCCAATGGTTCCAGAGATTTCGATGTAGCCAAAGGCCTAAGAACCATCCTCTGTTCATTGGATCTTACCCCATCCTCTGCTAGTCTCCTGTAGGTCCTGTAGGTTTGGCAAGTGGGACATCTGGCCGCTGATTTCAATTTCGCCACACTTGTGATTGCAATGGATGCGATTTCATCAAAAAAAAGGAGCCGGTCACCTTTCACCGGCTTTAGAGAAACACATCTCCACGGTTTCAAGAGTAGACCAACCGATCAATTCTGAAAAAAAATCGGCCATTTGGGGATGATTCCCCCAATCCTAACCATCATTCCAGATTGATGAGACTCATTGACCAGGTGATCAAATTCCCTCAGCCCGATCTCGTTCACACGACCTCGGCAGAAGCTAGGACAGCTAGGACAGCTAGGAGTCATGGAGGGTATTATGTTTCCGGGCAAAGCATGAGAACGACCAATGTAGATTTGGGATACCCCCCTTACTGCTGTGAGGTCACTATGATTTTGTGCAATATTTGATTAGCCAGAAAAAATGAAAATATGTATTCATATACTTCAATATTTGATTCATAGTTCAATGTTTGATTGATGCAAATGAAATTTAATGAGTTTCATCTCCAAAAAGAACGGAGAACCATTGCTTCTCAGGCGCATTCTTGCTTGAGTTCCTCGAATTCATTCTTCCACTCTGCATCCGAGCCTTCAAAACCTAGGCGAATCCAGGTTTTTTTGCTACAGGACCCATCGGGTTGCATACCCTATTTGCATCCTAGGGTCTAAATAAAATCAAATTAGTACTAAATTAATGATGATACTTTGATACTTTTGCCAGGCCCTCCAATGCTGTGCCCTACAGCTAGGCAATGCGAGCATAAAAGTGACTGCAATTGAAATGATGATACTTGAAATTCTAAACACTCAAGGGTGGAAACAAATTGACAACATCTATGGAAATGGGTGACAAAATCGATGATGACAGCAAGGAATAAACACCCCGCCAAGATACCCGTGTGCTTTGCGAAGGGCTTCATCTCATCAAACGTCAGGCAGCCAGAACCACTGCGATTCAGTGCTTGGAAGACTGCTCGAGTGAGATCCTTCCTGCTGAGTTTGGTCTGGTCTCGTGAGCTCTCATTAACCTGAGGCCAGGCTGAGGGATTCCCTGCCGGAAAAACGTGGTTGAGAGCCAACTCTCCAGGTTGGCTGCATCCATTTTGAATCATTGTCACAGCCCCTCCCCCATTGGGTCTGCAACAGCATAGCCAAGCTTAGCTAGCCTCACAACAAAAATCATCTTAAGCTGGGTAGTGGGCATTCATGCACACACACACACGGATATCGATGTATATACAAATATATATATATAGATATAGTAGATATAGATGGATGGATGGATAGATGGATGGATAGATGGATGGATAGATGGATGGATAGATGGATGGATGGATAGGTGGATAGATATGGTCCGGTCCTCCGTCCCTCCACCCCCCCAATGGGTTGGGTCCGCAGGTAGCACCCCCTTCCCTTCTATTTGCAAGCTATTGGCAGCATTTCTGAGGTCCAGCTTCGTATTTGCTAGGTCTTTGCAGCATTTCTGACTACCAGCCCCGCATCTAGGTACATGCTACCTTTAAGATGACCTACGTAGCACACATACTCCCTGAAAGTACCTACGTGCTACCTATAGTCATATATACATGTGTTTAACATATACCGTACCTACCATACATTCCAATGATGACATACCATACCTATCATACCTATCATACATACCACACATGCCATACATATGAAACATAATTTCCACACCTACCACACCTACCACACCTACCATGCATACAATACAAAACATACATGCCATACATACCATACCTACCTTACATAGGAAACACTCCATACCCATCATAGCCATACAGACCATACATACTGTCATATCAAACAGACCATACCCAACAAACTTACATACCAACCACCCATACAATAATTACCAACCATTCATGCCATACTTTCCAAACATGCCACACCAAACCGACCATACACACCATACATACCCAACATACCATACTACCACACCCCCACCACACCACAGGGAGGGGGACAGTGCAGTGCCACACACCCACCACAGAGCGCCCAGCGACGCGTCGACCCGCTCGGAGCGGTCTGGCCTGGATGGCCCAGACCTGGCCGTTGACGTCCTCGCCCTCCATGGCGCCAGTCTCAGCAAAGCCCAACTTTAAGAAGAGCTCAGAGCCTTGGTCAACGGAGCCAAAGCTCTCCATGGATGGGGGGATTGAGGAAGGGCGTTTGGATGGGGTGGACTGGCGGCTGCTTGTTTTTTTAATTAGAACAACATGAAATGTAAACACTATGATGCTACCATGTTTTTTTCTGGGGTGCCAGCCAATCTGGAGGGAAGTATCACTAGGTTTCATCAGTGAGGTTGTGAATTGTTTGAACCATTCATCAAGCAGTGATGGATGACCCGCACACAAGCACCAGGTTTCTGAGATCTTGTGAATGGCAATCGGAGCTGCCAGGGTGTTGATAACTGCCGCCTTCAACAACTATTGCTGGCAAAAAAGGCGCGGCGCAACATCATTGCTGCTCTATGACTCTATGAGAAACTTCTGATGAATAATGATGAATACCAAAATAACCGGAACATGCTGGGATATCAATGTTCATTTTTCCATCAACGGTTGGCCCTCTAGGCTTTGGTCAGCACCTCCCATTTTTGGTCGTTTCTACCTCCCTTTCCCCATCATCCAGGCACCATCAGGATGATGCTGCCCAAGGCTCCAAAGGGCCAAGTGCTGATTAAAACATTTTCCATGGTCGCTCGCTGTGCCTACCCCAAGTCATTTTGACACCAATGAACCCACAAAATGCTCGACATCTTTATTAAGGACCTGCAGTCCTACAGGAATAGTATGAGATATTGCATCAATTGCTTTATGCACATTAAACTTGAGAGGGAAGGGTGAAAGATCGAAAGGTAGGCGTGGGTTGGAACAGGAGAAGAGAGCAAGGGAACGAGGCATATCCGCTGCGGACGGACGTGGGTGGAGTTGGGGCGGATATCGAAAAAAGTCTTCTGGGCTTAGACTCGAGGGCGGGTACCAAAAAGGTAGGTTTCAGGGAGGGGGGACACGACACACACACAGACACACAGACATATATATATATAAATACATACATATAGTTAGATATATGTATAAATATCAGGTTATGGGGTTTGCGAGGCAACGTGTAACTGGGGGCAGCACATTGTTGCAACGCGGATGGGGTTGATTCTGGTGTGTACATGTGTAGAACAGTGTGGGATTCACAAACGTGGTGTTTTGACCCCAGCATGTACCCAAAGCAACTGACTTAGGGCTATCCTGGTGCTGGAATCTTGGTGCAAAAAGTGGGCCCGCGGGGTGACTTCTTGCAAACGCGGCTTTAGAGGCGGACCTTGGGGGAATCGAAGGGGGGGTTCAATATAGTTGTGATAATTATGTTCTAGTTATTATAGTAATTCTAGTCATTATAGGTGTTCTAGTTATGCTACATGATAACTATATATATACGAATATACATACATATGAAACATATTGAAATGTCATTAGCGAAGTCTTTTGGTTGAAGAGAATATCTTGGAGGAACCCTTGCGGAAAATCCACCAAATGATCTAGATATGCTGAGCAAGGGGCAGCGATTATGCTTCGGCAACCACTAGCCAAAGCGCAATATCCCACAATTGCTGGGTAGAGTATGCATATATATATATATATATACGAATCTATATGTATATTGAGATTATTTAGTATATATATATCATGGAATTATTATGTGTATATATATATAGATACATATCTTTAACTATATTGTCGAAGGAAGTTGAGAAGCTAAACTTCCGACAATATGGACAGATGAAAAGCAGAGCAGGGCAGAGGCAGAGAGAAGAGAAAGTTCAGAAGAGAAAGAGTCAGAAGAAAGAAGATGCAGATGCGCGAAAAGGTAGGAAAGTCGCGATTCACTGTGTTTTTCCAATGATTTGTGGTTCCGGAGGGTCGAAAAGTAGGCTCGCTAAAGCGGCGGGTGCGGAGACATATGGGGAGATGAGACATGAAAAATTGCACGCCGTTGTGGCGCGAAGCACATTTCCAAGTCAAAATGCACAAAACACCAGAGGATCGGACCACTTTTGGCGCTTCAGATGTCAAAAAAGTGCACGCCGTTGTGGCGCGAAGCACATCCCCAAGTCAAAATGTACAAAACACACCAGGGTCTGACCACTTTTGGAAGTTGCGATGTCGAAAAAGTGCACACCGTTGTGGCGCGAAGCACATGTCCAAGTCAAAATGTAGAAAACACACCAAGTGCGGACCACTTTTGGCACTTAAGATGTCGAAAAAGTGCACGCCGTTGTGGCGCGAAGCACATTTCCAAGTCAAAATGTTAAAAACACTAGGGGTTCGGACCACTTTTGGAGGCTCAGAGGTCGAGTTTCGAAAAAGTGCACGCCGTTGTGGCACGAAGCACATTTCGAAGTCAAAATGTGCAAAACACCAGGGGTTCGAACCACTTTTGGAGGCTCAGAGGTCGAGTTTCGAAAAAGTGCACGCCGCTGTGGCGCGAAGCACATTTCGAAGTCAAAATGTACAAACCACACCATGTTCGGACCACTTTTGGAGGCTGAGATGTCGAGTTTCGAAAAAGTGCACGCCGTTGTGGCGCGAAGCAGATTTGGAAGTTAACATGTTAAAAACACTAGGGTTTCGGACCACTTTTGGCGGTTCAGATGTTGCTTCGCTTAACTCGACTACACTACATGACACTACACTTTGCTGCACTACACTACATTACACTACATTACATTACACTACACTTCACAACACTACAGGTTACAACTACAACTACACAACTACAGTCCACTACAGTCCACTACACTAAATTACACTGCACTACACTCTCTACACTACACTTCACTACATTACACTACACTACACTCCACTACACTACTACAACACTACACTACACTCCACTACACTACAAATACAACTACACCTACCCAACTACACTCCACTACACTCCACTACACAACATTAAACTACACTACACTACCTTACACTACACTACACTCCACAACACTACAACTAAAACTACACAACTACACTCCACTACACTACACTACCTTACACTACACTACATTACACTACACTAGACTCCACTACACTACACTACATTACACTACACTACACTACCTGCCGCTACACTTCACGACACTACTCTACACTACACTCCACTACCACCTACAACTACAACTACACTCCACTACATTACACTACATTACACTACACTAC